TTTTTTTTTAAACAGGTCCTTATGACCCTGGCTCCATGTCCATTCTGGGGAGCGTCAGTCCGGTTCCTATTCCCCCGGCAAGTCAAAATTGTATACATCATGAGACACACTCACGCTTCCTTCCGTCTGGCCGAAGGAACCCTGACCAGCATTGATTACTCCTTCTTGGGAGGATTGACTGTCAGCTTGCCCTACCCTCATTTTCCTCTCAGAAGCCATGTTGCTTCTGTCGAATAGGCATTAAAGCACAAGAAACTGGGAGAGATGTCTGTCAGTCTGAGACTAAAGCCTCATTTTGTCCTTCTCGGGATTGCCTTCCTTGTCGTTGTTGGATTGGGCCCCTTCTTCCCAACTAACCCCTCGACTGTCTTGCTTGTCACCCTGCGTTTGTACTGTTCCTCCTTCGTGGACCAGTCGGAGTTCCGTTTCTCTGCGGCTACGCCTGATGCCACCTTTTCCATATCAGCCTGTTCTCCGCTATGGTGGCGATCTTGCCCTTTAACAGCCAGATCCTCAGGAATGTTCTTCTTTTGATCGCATGCTTTTCCGGTCTGTGCGTCATGGATGAAGCTATTTTCCGCCACCTGGCCCGAATTTCGGTCTCCACCATGCTTATCAGAAGAGTCCACATTTCCTCCCTTGACACCTCTGCTCCTTCAATTGTCCGTGTGCATCTGCGTTTCCAGATGACCCAGAGAGCCAGTTTTCTGAGTAGATTGAACCAGACTTCCTTGCTGCCACTGAGATTCCTGGGAGTGTTAGAGAGGAGTAGGATTGTTAGAGGGGAGGTGTTTGGCGGTGAAGATGAAAAGAGGGTGGACCAAAGGTACCGAACTTTGTTCCAGATCCAGTTTGCTTCAGGACAGTAGAGGAGGCAGTGGGGGATGTCTTCTGTTGTGTTGTTGTWGCACAAGRYGCAGAGTTCTGAGCTTTCTGGGTCTGAGTGTCTCCTTCTTTTGTGGAGCCATTGATTGACCGGGAGGGCTGCGTGTGCTAGGAGCCATTGCATGCTGCGGATTCTGGCTGGCCTAATAAGGAGGTATTTGGTCCAGGGAATGGTGCACGGGGTCGAGGGGTCTAGATTCAGGATATTTTGCCACTTCTCTTTTAGCCTAGTGTTCGGGTCTGTAGTCTGCAACCCGAGGTCGTAGCCGAATTTCACGTCGTATTCGGAAATTGTTCTTGATTTCCTTCCGGAGCCTTGATTCCACCTCCATTCTTTAGGGTCAAATTCCAGGTCTTCGATGCTGAGTTCTGGCTGGAATATGACCCATGGTCTGTTCTGGGTGACTCTGACCTTTCTGAGAAGGAAGGTTTCTAGTTGCTCTGCTTGAGGGGCCTCGTTCTGGATTTCCAGTTCCTGAAGACTGTGTTTGGAGATGGGGTAGGATAAGGAGCTGGCTCGGTAGCTGGGGGAATCTGATCTAGAGATGAAGCGGTAGGCTCTCTCGGGCGGGGTCTGGGAGACTAATAGGCCCCAATCACCTGATTTCCACGTGAATCTTTCTCTTAGGAGAGTTATCCATTGAGTGGGGATGCTCTGATGTATCGCTGCTAGATTAGTTTCCAATGAGTGGCACCCCATAAGGGGGGTTCGGAGCTCATGGCTCGTCAGCCAGTCTTCTCGATCTGTAGACCATAAATGCTTGATCTGCCATACTCCTCTCTCCACCCAGGTCAGCCACTTACGGTCTTTCCCGCGGAGGGTCCAGGGATTACCTTCTGCGTCTTTTATCCATGGGTTGCTGAAGAGAGGCTGCCTGTTATTCGGCGCGCCAATTTTGTTGGGCATCAGTCGACGCCACACTTTCAGGGTCGGCGTCCAGTAGGGGTTGGGTGAGAGGGTAGGCTGACCAGTCTGCTGTTGCTGCACTCTCCCTGCTGTCCTCCCTGTTTTGATTGACCACTCTTTGGCCATGATCCAGAAGAGGCCCTGCATGTTGAGTGGAGACTTTACTGGTGCCAGGTTTCTTATGCTGTCTAGGGCCATTTTCGTCCAGGGAAGAAATTGTTTGGTTAGGATCTTGATAATCCATTTCATCTGGAGGGCGATTGCTTCCTGTTTTGGGTCTATAACGCCCAGGCCTCCTTCTTGCGATTTTCTAGTGACTAGTTGCCATGCGACCTTGTTTATGCACGTGGTCCTGTTAGGATCCCCAGTCCATACCTAAATAAATGCAGTTGCCCCTTTTTTTTTCCATTTTTTGAAGATTCGACAGGCCTAAACCAAATGCTGCCGTGCTCGTGCTAAGGAACCATGAACTTGGCATTCTAGATGACCAGGAACAGACAGAATGCCATCTGGGTCTGTCTCTTAGACTGATGTAGCCCTTTTCCTTTCTCCATTTTCGACAAAATTGCGAGTGTCAGATTGGGAAAAAGAAACAAAACCCTGATGCAGCTCCAAAGAACTCTTCCTTTTCCCATTTTTGACAAAATTGCGAGTGTCAGATTGGGAAAAAGAAACAAAAGCCTGATGCAGCTGCAAAGAACTCAGTTCAAGATCCGCATAGTCTCGGCATATAGACAAAATTCATGGTGTCCTTCGGGACATCCATTAAAAATTGGAACGATACAGAGAAGATTGGCATGGCCCCTGTGCAAGGATGCCACGCATAAATTGAGAAATGGTCTAAATTTCAACAACAACAAAAAAGACAAAATTCACGGTCGTAACTTTTGGTCTAAGGTCTGGACCCCACAGGAAAAGTGTTGGCAAAGTGACGATTTTCGGGTTTCCGTGGAAGGGTGTCTGGAGGAGTTTGCCTGCGTAATGACGGGACCCCACCAAAGAGGCTGGAAAAGCCAGTTTCCACGAGCCTGGAAAGGCTGGAAACTGGAGATGGACCGGATGGCGGTTGCTGATGTCCAGTCAAAGGGGTTTTGTTCGTGTTTCGGTTGTCCGCTCAAGGCGGGAAGTGACAATGCGCGACAACGGCATGTCCGTCGCCCTGGCCATTGAACCAGAGATTGGCTCAGCTCGGCTCGGACTATGGATGGACCAGCGGGTCGGCAACGAGTTTCCAACGAAGGACATGCCCCCCCCCCTACTCTCTGGGAAGGGCACAAAATTCCGGCGGAAACTCCTCCCGTGGCACTTTTCCGGCGGAAACTCCTCCCGTGGCACTTTTCCGACCGGAAACCAACGTGAAAACACAAAATCTCGGATTTCCAGCTCCCGTTTTCCAGGTGGCAGGGTCACGGAAAACCTCCCCGCCCTCCTAAATTGGCTTTCCGGAAGGTCTGAGGCTTGGACCCCACAGGGAAAAATCGTGGCAAAAAGGGTGTGGAAAAACTTTTCTCGAACTCCACTGGACAAATCAGGCCCTCCGGAAAGTTGATTTTAGGAGGGCAGGGAGTTTTTTCAGGACCCCACCGC